TGTGTGTGCACAGTAAATCAGTGTTTGATCTTCAGCCCACATCCATTCTGTAATTACATCACACTCCAGGACATAGTCACAACCTGAAAAGCCTAGACATGGTTTTTATTTTATTATATTTTATTTACTATTACTTTTACTTTATTTTGAGCATTACACCTGTATTTTACTTTTTATTTCATTATGTTATTTAGAGCATTACACCTGTATTTTTTTATTCTGAGTGTTATTTTATTTTGACCTGTAATTTAATTTAATATTATTTTACTTTATTGTATTTAGAGGATTATGCCTGTATTTTATTTTATTTATGTTACTTTTAATTTATTTTGAGCTTAATTTAATTTTACTTTTGTTTTCTTTTCTTTTATTTTATTTTACTTTGAGCATTACACCTTTATTTTATTTTACTTTTTTATTTTCCTTCTTTTATTTTATTAAGAGTATTATACTTGTATTTTATTTTCATTTACATTACTTTTTACTTTATATAGAGCATTACACCTATATTTTATTATTTTATTTTATTTTTTGCATAATACCTGAATTTTTTATTTTATTTTATTTTATTAAGAGCATTACACCTGTATTTTATTTTACTTTTTTAAATTTTATTTCACTTTTATTTTATTTAGAGAATTATACTTGTATTTTATTCTTTTATTTTATTTTGAGCATTATACCTGAATTTTTATTTTCTTTTATTAGGTGCAATACACCTGTATTTTATTTTACTTTTTTTATTTTATTTTATATAGAGCATTACACCTGTATTTTATTTTTCCCTTTTATCAACCACAGCATCACAGTAAACAGCTGAGGTTAATGACTAAACTGAGAAATGCGGCATAAAAGTTAACCTTCAACAGCCATCTTTACTCTTTATTACCGCTACATGCACTTTTGCTTTCTCCAGCCTTACTGTTGTTTACTGGCGTGGTTTAATGTGTTTAATAGTTCCCTGGAATCACGCACTGGAGTGTTTCTCCATCTCATTTTAAAGTTCATATAATTCAAAGTAATTTAAAAGCTTCAATCAAATGTAAATATAGATGAAAGGATTATTCTGGGTTATAGACAGAATCTGTGGCATCATGCTGTTGATCACCAAAGCCAGTAAGTTTATCAAAACAAACAAGCATTACTGTCAAACACATGCGCATGATGATCAGAGGCTTTAAAAGCTTTCGTTTTTTTGCTAATTCTTCAATAAAATATTTGTTATTTGAGCTGTAAAGTGCCTTTTTAGAGCTGCTGGACGTAGTTGTGGTTCATTTATCCTCATGCAGATCATCTTCGGCTTCACCAGATATACATGTGCATCATCTGAAATACTGCATTTATTAATGCAATACTGGACATATTTATGCATTTCATGCTAACATGTGTCATACATGTTATAGTATATAAAAGCATCATGATGAATGCATATTTTACCATTTATTTGCAGAAGACTGAACCCATAAAAATTAATTTTGGACCAAATTATTCTGTCAGAGACTCTTAAGTATTAAACCAAGAATATTCTGCGCTCATATCACAGTATTAATTGTCATGCAGTAAATATCTCCGTTTCAGAACTGAAATCAGACAATGGCAGAATGTAAGAAAGATATCCTGGATTCTTAATTTTATTATCACGAACTGTATCTATGCTCTTCATCTAAAATCTTGAAAAGAAATTGTTTATTATTACATACAACACTTGCCAGAACAAAATATATATATATATATAAATAGGGAACAAAATGTACACAAAAACAACAACATCTCGTTTGAGTAATAATAGGCAGTACAGTTAATATGCAGTGCTGGAGAAACTGTACAGAATTATTAGTGGTCAAAAACACTGTTTCTAGAAGTCATTGACCCAAGTGTGCGGTGAATTATAGAAACATCCACAGACAGACACTCAACGCTCTACAGACAGGAGGACTTGTGGGCGGGGCTTGTTGTTGTGGGCGGGGCCAGGGGGCGGAGCCGGGTGGTTCACATTATCTTGAAAAATCCAGCCTTTGACCTAATGCTATTTCTTCAGAGGTCCTGACATCTTACGCAGTCCCTTCATCCGGTAGAGCAGACCATTGATAAAGTCCTGTGGTCAGAGAGAGATCTTGGTTAAGGTTTAGCGTGCTGTTATAAAGTTTAAAAAAATGTTTTGGTTAATTTATTATGAAAAACTGTCTATGCAACCATCTATGGTAATGTAACTTACAGTTTATCTATTGAAGGATTTTACAGTTGCACTTTCTTTTATGTTAAAATTACAATACATTTTAAGTCCAAATTTGCATATAAAATTTGCATATATTTGGATTACACAGTTTTAACATGACAAAAACTAATAAACTTAATGTGATGTGTATTTGTAGGTCATACATAAATGAACCCGGTCATATTTCTGTAATAGTACTAATAAACTTTAATGTGTTTTAAATGCACAATAACCAGTTTTATGTATTTATCATCAATAAATCCAATTTATTTCCAATAAATTTCATTCATTTTAATTGAAAATGACTTGCTGCATATTTAACCATGTTCATACTTTTAAACTGAATAAGTGCAATTTTTCACAATGAACAGATTTATGTTGATTCTAAGCTATTTGAATAAATGCTTTTTAAAAATGTTATATAATATTAAATACATTTATCATATAAAATTCAAATATTTAATAATGAAACTATGACATGATGTTTTTTTGCATTAAGTGTGGAAATCATTTTTGTATTACTGGCATATATGAAATATGAATCACATTTTATTTAAAGTTTATTAGTTTATGTTTATGTTGTGTAATCCAAATGGATAGAAAAATTATATGCAATTCATAAATCTTAAATGTAGGCCTAATTTTTTTTTTTTTTTTCAGTGCATCTGATTTTTAGGAGGATTTTCTTCATAATATTCAAATACAATAAATATTTACAAAAAACAAAAACTAATAAAAATGTCAAAAGCACATAACAAAATGACTAAAAAGAAAACGGAAAATATAAAACATAAAAGCCAATTGAAAATATTTATACATTCACTAATACTATAATAAAGCTGAAATAAAATATAAATATTAGATAACAAAATTAAACAAAATAGTAACGTTGCCTTGGCAACTAAGTAAAATTAAGTTGAAGTAAAATGAATAAAACTTATACATATAAACTATAGCTAAATAGAAATTAACTTTTTTTATCAAACTTAAAACTAAAATTATATATATATATATATAAAAACAGAAAATATAAAACTAATTTAAAATATTAATACTTATAATAATATTCAAATAATACTAAGATCATTTAATCCAAATGGGTGGACATTTTATATGCCATTAAAATACATATATCTTAAATTTAGGCCTAAATATTTTTTCACTGCATCTGATTTTTGGAGGGATTTTCTACATAATCTCTATAACATAAAGCATGACTCATTTGTTATAATAAGTGCATATGAACGCTGTTTGTGAGCAGTAGTGTGTTTAGGCACCATGCAAACTATCCACTATCAAATCTATCAAAACCTTTCAGTGTTTTCAACCATATCATGCTTATTTTATGTTTCTCACACTGTCGCAAATAAAGTGAAAAATGAAATGAAAAGCGTAAATTACGGCATTACATTTATATCTGCTCATGTTGCACTATATCTTCTTTTTACACGTTTTTGCAGAGTTGCGCATTCAACCAATCACAGACGATTCTGCTGAGCTTATGAGTGCAATGTCCAATCAGAAGCGTTCAGATCAGTCATCACTGAAACGCTGCTGGTTTGTTCAGTGCTCGCACTCTCATCTCATTGCAAATTCTCTAATCATAAACATCAGAGTGCAAATGTGCGTGCGATGTAATTAAGAGCTTCATTTCACAGTGTAGTCAGCTTCATTGATTACAGGCAAACAGGAGGGGTTTTTGAGAGTGCTTAAACTCGTGCTAGATTTAAGTCAATTATAATGTTATGTAAATGTTTTTGGCTTACTTTCTGTAAAATCAAAGCGTTATAATTAGTAACTTACAATGTTTTTATTAAATTCACTTTAAATACAAAATCAGTCGTATTCAAAATATGTTATTACATGACACCCATAAGTAAAGTACTTAAGTTACATTAGGCTACTTGCCCATCGCTCGTTATAGATGCAAAATGAATTTGTGCAAAAATTCTAATTGCATGGCATCCTGCCCCGAGGAACGCGATTTTGAGTTTTGTCTTACCTCCTTTGGCTTTCCACATTCTTGCAAAAGCTCCTGTTAAAAGACAGAATAGCAGCTACAGCATCTATACATGTTTGTCATAAAGTTGTAGATGCATGCAGTCACACTGATGCATTTCCATGTTTACTGCTATGCATCAGATGAAGCTGAAGCTGAACGTACGTGCAGTCGAGATCTCTGCTCTTCATCTGTCAGCTCTAGAAGTTCATCAATGTCGATCTCCAGGTCAGGAATCTCGTCCTCCTATAGCACAGACAATCAATGTGGCTGTTTCAGCAGATGCTCATAACTGAGAGACACTGTGCATTTAATGCAATCGCTCCTTTAAGTACAAAAAAATCTATTAATAATTATGAAAGTTATTGGTCGAGATGTTGAGATGCAATCAAACTGCAAACCGCAATGAGTCTCAATGTGTCTAGCTGATGAATGATGCTGGAAATGCAGTGGCAGTAAGAGACACGCTATTATAATGCATGCAGCATGATTTATTGAAAAAATTTTTTTAAATATATTTAAAAAATGTATTTGCTAAAATATATTTCAAGATATATTTACATGAATATATTTTCTACCAATATTAGTTTTTGCCATTTTTTATATATTTTTGAAAATATATTTAAAAAATATAAACATGTTTTTAAAAATATATATTTTTAAAATGTATTTTCAAAAATATACAAAAAATGGCAAAAAATAATATATATATATTTGTAATAATTTTTATTATATTTTTCAAAAATATATGAAAAATGTCCAGAAAATGTATGTGCTAAAAAATTTATTTCATTGAGCTTCACAGTTTACAGCATATATTTAGCATATATTTGAAGTATATTTTGACCAGAAAATCCACTGTGTTATTATAAATAATTAAGCAACACTGTTAGTAAAATAATCCGTAGAAAAATGGATAATGTCCTGGCAGAAAATGACCAGTACATTTTTCATTAAATGTATGCACATTTTCTTCAACCCTAAAACACTAAGCAATGCAATGCATAATTCAAGATATAGATAAAACACATGCAAAAACTCAATACTAAAAATCCTTCATATTAACGCAGTGCATTGGACCATGTTTTTACAGACTTTTCTTAGTGAATATAATTTATGCAGGAAATCATATATGGCAGGTTATACCTTATAGTCTTTGAGTTTTAAGCTCAAAGCATTTCTGCTGGACTGTTTTAATGACATCCGCTCTTAAAAGCATCTCAAATTAGACAGATCAGAGAAATGACGACCCCCAGAGTGACGCCGCATTAGAAACCACACCATTGGCTTTAAACTCACCACACTAATTGCTGCTCACATGAATATTAGAGGAGAACTTTAGAGAAACTGCTGCGTTAGCAGGTGCTAATTACCCCGCGGCGGGGCAGTTGAGTTTATACAGCTGTGAGGGAAAGAGCTGCTGCTTCTATTAGGCTCCGTTTATACCGCTGTAGTAATTCTTGTATTTTATTCACACATCACAACTTGTTGCATATTATGTTGTTTATAGGCAATATGCTACATGGTGTCCAGTTAGAAGTCATTTTGAATGTCCTAAAAGCAGTGTTGAAATTGTTACCTAAAACTAAAACTATTAAAAATAATTTTCATTAATTGAAATAAAGCTGAAATAAAATAAAATAAAAATATTAGATGAAAAACATAAACTTATAAATGTTTGTTGACAATAACTGAAATAAAATAAGTTGATGTGCTATTACTAAAAGTAAAACTGAAATAAAATAAAATTAAAGCTAAATAGAAATATTAAAAACTAATAACAAAATTACTAAAAATTTAACTAAGATTAATAGAAAACTAATATAAAAATTAAACTAATTCAGAATATTGTTACATACATTAATATAGTAATAAAGCTTAATAATAAGACATTACATGAAAAAAAAGTTCACCTTAAATTAAAATTTGTAATGTTGCCTTGACAATTAATTTAAATAATATAAGTTGAAGTATTAAAATTACTAAAATTAACACTGAAATAAAAACAAATCAGAGCTAAATAGAAATATATAAAAAAACTAATAAAAATTACAATTTCTTTAAACAATTTTTTGTAATTTTTGATTTATTTTTATTGTAAACTAAAGCACTTTGAATCAACTACGGTTGTGTTAAACTTGTGCTCTATAAATAAAATTCGCCTTGCCTTGACACAAGCACATGATAAAATTACTAAAACTTAAACTAATATAAAAAAAAAACATATAAATATAAAAAAATATATATAAAAATCTGAAAATATATAAAAACTAAAAGCCAATTCAAATATTATTACATACACTAATTATATTAATAAAGCTGAAATAAAAATATTAGATAAAAACATAAACTTAAAATTAGAAAAGTTTCTTGACAACCACCTGAAATAAAACAGACTGAAATACTAATGCTAAACTAAAACGGAAATATAAAGCTAAATAGACACATTAAAAATTACACAAGTGTGTTTTTATTGACAAAAAATGACAAAAGTACTTAACAAAATTACTAAAACTTAAATTAAAATTAAAAATATAAAAAGATAATTTAAAATGTTAATGCATACTGAAAAAAAAAAAAACTCAACTCAACCTCGAGTTATTCCAAACCTGACTTTATTTTTTGGAGATGTTTAGCATCATGAATGCATCTTTTATGGTCTTTTTGTCCTTTTTACAGTGTGACAGCTCCTGATCTCTGTCTGCTTTCATATAGAAAAGAGCCAGCGTGAACATTCTGACTAAAAGTCATGCAGGTTTGGAACAACATAAGTGTGAGTCAATGATCAGGTGAATTATTCCTCTACACGGTAATAACTGTACAACAGTCACACTAAAGAAGGCCATATTTCGGTCTCAGTTAGCGTGTGTTGTGTCTGAATGAGATTTCACAGATGTCAGGCGGCGCTGGTTCCCTAATGTGGATCCATTACTAATCTGATCTTCCTTCTGGGTTTCCTGCCTCAGGCTCACAGCCATCAAAACACAAATTCTGCAACATACATTCACATAATGTGGAAGCGTTCTCCAGTAGCACTGATGCAGTGGACCTTTGACCCCACAGAATGTCAGCACAAATACAAGAGCATCCTTAAAAAAACAAAACAATGATCACTGTAAAACAAAATCCCACCTACTTCAGGTTAAAAACTTAAGGCAAAACACTACACTTCAAATGTCACCATATATATCACCATAGTTGCTAAATGATTACATCAAGAATTGCAAACTTTTTGTGCATTACAAGTATTACAAGGCATTATCTTATTAAAAATACACTATTTTGCATACAGAAATCTGAACACTGGATAAAGCCAGGTTCAAAAATATTTTCATTTTTTTTGACATATTAGATTTTTACTGAGTGGATTTTGAATATGTTCTTTTATCACTGCATAAATCAGAAAATACTGTCAAAAGTGGGAAAAATCACCATGTTTTTAGGAATAAAATATTGTATAAAATTATAGGCAAATGATATATGAACAAACCCCTCAGTAAAAACCTTCAGAATATAAATAGAAATAAAACTCTACATTTTGGTGTATGTGAGTGCTGCTGAAGTGGAGAAAAAACTCATTTTGAGAAAACAGCCTTTAAAAATATGTATTATAATTAAAACATTCAAATATATAAAATGCAATGATAAAATATTATATTATATTATATGAACAAACACCTCAGTAAAAACCTTCAGAATATAGATTTATAGAATACAAATTTTGGTGTATGTAAAAGCTGTTGAAGTGGAGATAAAAATCTTTAAATATATGTATTTAAATTGAAATCTATGCCGCAAATAGATAACGTGCAATACACTTAAGTTTCAAAATCTCCAAAATCTCAATATTGACCAGTGCATAAAAAACAGGTTTTGCCTGTAGTGTCATGCTTTAAGTTCAGTTGCTGCCTTAAATATTTATTATATTAAAAATTTGTACAAAACCTGGCAAAATCGCCAAAAACCTCCATTTGGAGATGTCCTCATTTGTAAAACTGGTATAAAAATAAAGTAAACAAAGTTTTTTTTTAAATTGTAAAAATGCAGAAAGTTTCCTGTGAGGGGTAGGGGTAGGTTTAGGTTAAAAATTGTATAACTATCTGTATATAAAAACAATAGTCTATGAAATGTTCCCATTTAGATAGCTAAGTATACGTGTGTGTGTGTGTGTGTGTGTGTGTGTGTGTGTGTCATCCTGTAGTGTTTGTGTTCCAGACATGCAATCATGTGTATTTGCACACCAGACAGTAAGAATACACCTAGCAGCCACATAGCGACACTCAAGCAACTGCTCAGAACACAGAGCAACCCACTGCGAACAACTCATTCATTCTTTGAAATAGTTTCTTTAAACTTAATAAAAACCAAAAACGCATGATTTGAAGTCAGGGTTGGGCAGAGTAACTGCAGGATCCAATGAGTTCACGCATAAATTAGAAATGCTCATGAATAATGCAGCTGTTGACACAGGGGCCGCACTGTTACAGGCTTCCACACGGAAGTGTCAGAGAACCCAGAGTGAAACCCTTCCGCTGGCCCATCAAATATTCATCATCATCGCCAAAACGCCACTCCCAAACCACAGAGAGCTCAATTTTAGAAAACCATGTGCAGTATATTCTGGTGCTTAAAAAAAAAAAACAGAAGCTAATACACTGATATGAGGAGTATATAATATTCCACTATAGTCTTATGAATAATACTATCTTAAGACAAAGCACTACAGGCAAAACATTTTTCATCCACTGGTCAATTTTGAAATTTGGGGCAATTTGGCTATGCATAACATATTTTTTCAGACTAGTGGAAAGAATGCATCCAAAATACACATTTAAGTGTTTATTTTATTGTACTTTCTATTTTCTTATCTATTTGCGTCTATAGATTTCTATTATAATAACATATATTTAAAGAGATTTATCTCCACTTCAGCAGCACTTACATACACCAAATTTTAGAGTGTTATTCCTATCTATATTCTGAAGATTTTTACTGAGGGATTTCTTTATATATCATTCACCTGATTTTATTTCTGCACTTTCTCGATTTGTGTCTGTAGGTTTCAGTTAAAACACATATTTTTAAAGGCTGTTTTCGCAAAATGAGTTTTTTCTCCACTTCAGCAGCACTTACATACACCAAAATTTAGAGTTTTATTCCTATCTATATTCTGAAGGTTTTTACTGAGGGGTTTGTTCATATATCATTCACCTGGTTTTATACAACATTTTATTACTAAAAACATGGTAAATTAATTTTTTTCTGGCTGTCGACAGTATTTTTTTATTTATGGGGTGATAAAAAGAGATATCCAAAATCCTCTCTATAAAAATTTTTAGCTCTAATATGTCAACAAAATGAAGCTAGAATTTTGAACTTGACTTTATCCAATGTTCAGAATTATTTCTGGAAATTAGTCTATATTTAATTAGGTAATGCCTCGTTTGCATCTTTAAATATAACATCAGAAAACTTGTAATACAAAAATGTTTGCAACTCTTAATGTAATCAATCAACTGGAAAAGTATGGTGATGTCAATTAGTTAAAATTTTTAGACCATTCACCTGGGGTGTCTAGCTTTAAGTGTATATCTACAGATGGATTATATCAGTGAAATGCACAAGAGTACCACAGTAAACGTGAACGCGTGCCCTTTAAATAGAGCTGCTTTTGTATGTATTTAGGACAAAACAGATATCTTCTCCTCAAAGCCTGCTCCATTTAAATCACCTGAAAAAAGAAATCCTAGAAAAGAAAGATATGTGTATGATAAAGCAGTGCTTCTGTATATGTGTGTTTATCAGGAATCATTCAGTGTCTCTGCTGTGTCATCTGACGGCTACAGTAGAGTAAACACACAGATGCTGGACATCTGCCACTACATTCAACACTTTCTCTCTCACACACTCATCATGCTGAAAGATCTGAACCGCTGAATGCTTGAATGTCCCACATGTCCTTGAGTGCTTGTGTTTAATAGTGACAGGTCAGGGTCAGACATTAACCATGACTGCTAAGACAGCTGGATATTTCAAATGTTGAGGCAGAGGTGATTACCTCTGTTCATATAATCTGTTATCTAACATTTGATATATTCGCTTCTATTCTAGTCCTGTCTGGTGATGGGTTTAGTGATCTGTAACTCGCTATTTCTGAGGTGAGTGTTGTTGAAAGTGGAGCTACGCTGAAGTGAATGTTGATGACAAAAAAATATTAACAAAACACTCAACTCTCCAAAGAGTTACAGTAAACAGTAGAGAGCTGAATAATCAGTGATGTATATAAAATATAAGATATCAGTGTTTGATATCGTGCTTTATTTACAGCTCTATCTGTATTTGATGTTGAATTATATTAATTTCAGACTTAATAGTATTAAGAATTTGTTTTAATTGATTGGTTCACTTGAGATTTTCAATGCAGTCGCATGACACTGTGTGTTTTTGTTTTGTTTTTTATTACAAGAAATATACCCAAATAAACGTAAAAATGCATTGGAAATCTCTAATTTCTGATACTGAAGCGATGAGAAATGAATCCTTGTTCCTTGATACTGTATCTTACATTTATGCATTTGGAAGACACTTTTATCTGAAGCGACTTACTTTTTTTTTTATCGATTCATGCATTGCCTTGCTCACATCATGCTCTATTTCTTGAGCTATAGAAACTGCTTGTATTTTTATGGTATAATACAAGACAGCTTTACACCAGTTTACGTCTGTCATATGCAAGATATCATATCATAAAAGCACATTTCTCATGTTATCAGGGTGGTGTAGACTGGTGGGTTAAGATGGTAACTGAAAGGCTGTAGGTTCAGTTATCATTGAGTAACACATCAGTTAGTTCCTGCAGATCTAAAAGTAGAGCATGGTGTTTACAACGCCAAGGTCATAAGTTCGATTTACAGAGAATGCATAAACTGATAGCATGAATGCAATAAAAATAAATGTAAATTTTTTGATAAAAGATGCAGATGCATTAATGTAAATTAGTCCTAAAAGTACTATTATCTGTATTAGACAAAGTTTTATTTCTATAACCAAAAATCTCACTTTGCTGCATTAGAAATGCTGTTACTTTTTTTTGTTTTCCACAAAGTGCAATAATACACTCAGGTTTGATCTGGTTTAATCTAAATGCCCATTCACACCAAGTATGATAACTATAAAGATAAATGTAACTAGAGTTTAAAGGGGATATCAGATACCCATTTTCCATTTTATTATTTCAGTATTTATTTATTTTCCAGTATTATTTCGTTTGTGTGTGTGTGTGTGTGTGTGTGTGTGTGTGTGTGTGTGTGTGTGTGTGTGTGTGTGTGTGAAATAGTAATAGAAATGACAACAAAAAAAAACAGCAAAATGATTAAAACTGTTAAGTAAAATTAAAATAAAAACAAAAATATTAATTCAAAATGTTAAAAAATAAATCTATAATGTCTCAATGATACTAAAATAACACTGATTGGAATCACTTTCAGAACGATAAACAGAACGTTATCGTGTGTCCGACTAAAGTGGATGCTATTTATAGTATAGTTTTCGTTACAGTTATCATTCTTACTGTGAACGTGTCTTGACCTTAAAGATGCATGCATAAACAGGCTTGGTTAACGATTGCAGATTGCAGGTGTTTGTTGCGTGTCTTGTGTTGGGCGAGATTGGCATTAGAGCAGCTGTCAGTCATCGGGCTGTGGGTTATAATCAGCACATGTGGGCGGAAGAACCTTCGTCTCGTGTCTCGGTGTGTCTCGGAGAGGGAATGTGGAGGGAAAACAACTAGATCTGTTCAAATATCATCACCTTCTCTCCTCTAATGTCACTGTATCCTCAGCGCATTCGAGTAAATGTCATGCACATCCCTTCATGCTGAACCAACCAGAATCCTGTTGCCATGGCAGCACGCCGCGCGGATACAGTCTCTCTGATGTAAAGCGGCAGATGTTGCGCGTCTCCAGATGTCCGTGACTCGTCATCACCGGTTAATCATGACGTCAGTGATTAGAGTCTGGATCTGTGTGCGCTTTAAGGAATGTCCTTGGTTCAACAGAACTTAACCTACATGAGCGGCATCTGTGACGTCACTGCACATAGGCCTACAGTCTACCCTCGTCCCTCAGCTGGTTAAAATAACCAGTAATGCACTTACACTGGACACTTATCTTAATTGCTCTGTGCAAAAATTGCGTTAGTTGATCTGTAAAAGCTTTTTTGCATCTTTTTTTTATGTTTAGTCAAGATGACAGTTGCTGTGGATACATATATTGTGAATATATGAATCTGAATATAGTTATAAGTCTGAATACATAAATGTAAATTGTGAGTATGTCATTTAGATAAGTGATATGCACTTACATTAATATATATGATATCTGCATTGATACATGTATACAGGCTGTATAGGCATACTGTTTTCATTAAAAATCAATAAGAACATCTGTCTGTTGACATGCCTGATAATAAAGATATATTTATATTGTGATGTAGACGATATATATTCATATTTGCATTTATGTATTCAGGATTTATATATATATATATATATATATACACATATATATACAGGATTTAAACATATATATAGCTATTTACATTTAAATATTTAGCATTATGACTTTATGTTCTCAAGATTTATAAATTTACTGATTTACAATTATATAGTCGGAATTAGAACTATATATATATTCACATTTTATATTTATATATTCAAACATAACTATATATTTCGATTTACCTCTATATTCATGATTTACAGTTATATATTCAGTTTTGTATCTATATAGTAGTTTTTAGTTGTAATAATACAATATATAAAACCAACTCTCTCTCTCTCTCTCTCTGTATATTAGCTATATGTTCACATATATAATGTCAATTTCTTATGTATACATTTATCAGTGACGTCTGTTGTAAGTGTAGACATGACTTTTGCTTGTTTTTTCAGTCTGAGGACGGAGATGAAATGTTTTTCTGTGGAAATTGACATCATGTCAGATGTAAGCGGTGGAGGTTCATATAAAGGCACTGAGACATTCAGCACTGCTCACATAGATCCAGAAAAACTAGTGCTTGTGATGTCCTCATTTGTAATTTGCTTTGGATTCAAGCATCTGCTAAATGAATAAATGTAGCAGGAAGATTTCAACACATTCCTGAAGCTTTAAGCCGTAAAATTTTCTTGTAATGTGCCTCCTTGATTTCACTCTCGATTCAAAATGACTGATATGTTCAAACAAGACATGATCACATTTAGTGCATACTGTGGTGGTACCATGGTAAAATGATGTATTTCCTCTAGGAAAACTTCAGCCAACTTCCCTCAATTGTTCCTCCTAGACAGTAATGAGATTCAATAGAGCAATTACTAGCATCTCCTGCTTCTCAGATGTTTTTCCTGAGAAAAGGACTCCAGTAATCTCACACGTGTGAGTTTCCAAAAGAGATCTCAACAACGTTGCTCAAATAAATTGCAATTAAAAGTCAGAGGCTCTCAATGTGACCTAATTTCTCCTCAAATGATCTGAGCTGCTCCATATTTATTTCATAGGATGACAACTACACTCTTAAAAATAAAGGTGCTTCACGATGCCATAGAAGAACCTTTTTGTCTAAATGGTTTCATAAAGAATCTTTAACATCTGAAGAAGCTTTCTGTTTCACAAAAGCTTCTTTGGGGCGAAAGAAGGTTCTTCAGATTACAAAAAGGTAAGAAAGAGACGGTTCTTTAAAGAACCTTTGGCTGAATGGTATCTATGGCATCGCTTGAAGAACCTTTTGAAGCACCTTTATTTTTAAGAGTGTAGTGACTCATTGAAGGAGGAGTTTTAGGTGAAACATGCACAAAGTCGCCGTCTGTACATGATTATTTTTGTGCATTGTTTACTTCAGTCTGAACGTGCTGTAATGAGGCTCAGAGCGTCTGTCTCTCTGGATCTGTCTTACCTCACAGTCGTACAGCAGGTGCAGCTGTCCGTCGATCCACTCCTCGATGTCCAGCCTCCTCTGGAGGTCTTTGCGGTTGTATTTGACCGTCAGTTTGCCCAGTTTGCGTTGAGCAGGCTCCTCCTCTTTGGTCTGAAACATCACTCTGGACTGGGTGCCCGGCTCCGACGCCATGCCTGCCACAACCTCACACAGATGGGGAAAAGTCCAAGAGACGGCTGTCTCTCTCTCTCTGTCTGTCTGTCTGTCTGTCTGTCTGTCTCACAGATTCCAATACAATACAGTTCAGTCGCCGTCCTTCTGCTGTTTGCTCCTCAGTGTGTGTCTCTTTATACTGCAGTGTGTTTCTGACTCATGTTCGTGGTGTTTCTGTCCGACAGCCTCCTTTAGTGCCTGTTTTCTGTCTGCGCTCTACTAACTCCTTCCCTCCCTCTCTATGTCTCACTCTCTCTCTCTCTCTCTCGCTTACTCACTCACTCACTCACTCACTGTGTGCTAAGAGGAACATGGTTTAACTCAAGACTGATAACGTGTAGTAAGATCAGGGTCAGAGGCCAAAATACTTGTTTTAAAGCGCTTCTGGCTATCATATGCAATGGTAGAATTAAAAATTACATTTATATTTATTCACTAAGCAGACAAAAATATTTAATTGATTTAATTTTAAAAATAAATAAGTTTCTGTACCTTTTAATTCTCTAATTGTACGTTTTTAATGGAATTGTAAAGAAAATATGGAAATGTGGTGTTTGACTTAAAACTCACCATCACAAATGTGAGTGGTTGCCAGGGTGTTTCTATGTGGTTGCTATGGTGTTTTGGGTGGTTGCTAAGGCATTGGTATAGGATGTTCTGAGTGCTCTGTGGCTTCTGGGTTGTTTTGGGTGCTTAAAGGGTTAGCTCACACAAAAATAAAAATGCTGTCATTAATTACTCACCCTCATGTCATTCCCATAAGACCTTTGTTCATCTTCCGAACACAAATTAAGATATTTTTGATGAAATCCGAGAGCTCTCTGACCCTGCATAGACAGCAAGGGAACTACCACGTTCGTTAAAACAGTCCATGTGACATCAGGGGTTTAACCGTAATGTTATGAAGCTACGAGAATACTTTTTCTGCGCAAAGAAAACAAAAATAACGACTTTATTCAACATTTCTTCTCTTCCGTGTCAGTCTCCGCTGCGCGTTCACGAGAGTACCATGACGCATGCGTGTGATGCTGCTGACGCAGGAGCCGGCATCCTGACGTAGAACATGCATGCGCTGCGCCTTGTTTACAAGCAGAGGAATGCACATGCATGCATCGTGGTACTCTCAAGAAAGCTCTCAAAATCATCAAAAATATCTTAATTTGTGTTCGGAAGATGAACAAAGGTCTTGCGGGTTTAGAACGACATGAGGGTGAGTAATTAATGACAGAATTTTCATTTTTGGGTGAACTATCCCTTTAAAGTGTTGCTAAGCTGTTGCTAGGGTGTTTTGGGTGGTTGCTAGGGGTTCACTGAGCTGTTGCTATCTGTTTGCCAGGATGTTCTGGGTGGTTTCTAGGGCATTTTTATAAGGTTGCTGAGAGATTCTGAGTGACTGTTAGTGTCTTAGTGTGCTCAGTGGTTTCTAGGGTGTTCCGGGTGCTTCCTGGGGGTTGCTAAGCTGTTGCTAGGGTGTTCTTGTTCTGAATATTGGTATAAGGTTGCTAAAATATGTATGCTGTTAGTGTGTTGCTATGTGGGTGCTTAGAGTGTTGTTAAGCTGTTTCTAGGGTGTTTTGGGTGGTTGCTAGGGTGTTCTGAATGGTTGCCAGGGTGTTGCTATGTGGTTGTTTTAGTTTGTTTGGGTATTGTGAGTGGTTGCTAGGGCATTGGTTTAAGGTTGCTAAGATGTTCTAAATGGCTCTTATTGTGGCTTCTAGAGTGATCTGATCTGGTGCTTGGAGTGTGGCTAATTTGTTGCTAGGGTGTTCTGGGTGGTTGCTAGGGGGTTGTTTACTGTCTCAAGTGAAAAGAGTCTCTGTGATATTAACATAACTATATATTAGCAACGTTGATTCTGGAGCACACCTCGTTTGCTCAGACACTTTGCCCCATTATCAGAGGTAATGGTGCTTTCATTACAATGATATCCCGTGCCAGGAGGAAATGGAGAGTAATGGATGTGACTCTGCTCCGTTTCGATTAAATGGGGATCAGCAAAGAGCCATATATGGCAAAATCATCCTCTCTTAGCGGCTGATATGTTAGTTGTCACTTTGAGCTGCTGGCCGGATCATAAAGTTTCCATTTACCGCCACTAAACTCATTTTCCTGCAAGGGTGATGGTGTACAGAGATAAACTCTGTTATCAGTTGATGTGCATGCAGGTTATTCACAGTATTTCCAGGATATTACAATTCCTTATTAATTATTAATGTAACCATTACATTACACATGATTACTTTTAGATTTCTTTTGACCTAACTTCTTTATCACATTGATTTGAATAGGATAATCTTGTACCATATTGATATAAAACTTCAAAGAGAAAGAAAATATATTCCATTCATTGTTATTAACAACGTGAAGTGCATTAAACAATACCTTACATCAAGGTTTTGTGAGTTTAATTAAAAGCTAATAATTAATTAAATCATAAAAATATATGCATTAAAATTTAAATGATTTTTGTAAATCCAGTAGTCAAATACTGTTTGGCCTCTCACGTTTCTCTGTATTTATAGTGATTGGTCCTTGTGTGAATGTCCACAAAACCGGAAGACTTATAAGCGAAGTGTATATGAGCGATATTCTATTTTAGAAGGAACAATTTTAAAGATGAAAAAGAAGAATTAGGTAGAATCAATAAATTATGAATAATGTATTGCCATTGTGTGTAATCATGTAATCACTAAAAAAGTAACTGTAGTCTGATTACGAGTATTTAAAAATGTAATATAATCTAATTACAACAAGTGCTTAATTTTTGTAATCTGATTACATAATCAAAATTACATGTAATCAATTACAACCCAGTGCTGTCAACAGATAACCGTGGAGCAGCTGATGTCAGAAAACGGACAAAGAGAATGTAATCCTGTACTGGAATGTGTTTATTTTCCTTTGGCATCCATGTAAACTCATCAATAAGATCATGTAATCTTTTTATCTAGTGTCTGTATCAGGCTCAAGTATGACAGAAGCGCGGTCACCTGTGTCTACCAGCGCAGATTATCTGTATGTTCACCCGTCAGAATGCCTCCAAATATGCATTAGAAATCAACCATGTCTTTTATAGCTGCCATCATCAGGTCTGTGACTGATAAGGCCTGAAACTAAATGGGTGCACCTTAATAAATGATGGATGAGGAGATGCAGCAATGCAACAGACTGGAGTGCTTTGGAACAAATTTGATATGCGAGAAACACATTTATGGTGCCCACAGCGCATCAAACATTGCTTCAAGCTGTCCAAACAGAATTCTCGGGTGTATTCCCATGTCAAAGTGTACACCAGGCTGGACAAAAGGCATGCATTGGCTATTCCAAATATCCGATTTCGATAAAAACAATGGCTGCCGCTTTTCCCCTTTGTTTTGTCAGGGAATATCAGTCAAGTGCAGCTCCGCTGCTTCTCATGCCGATGTGCCGTCTGTTACAAACTCTAAATTATTGAGCAACGCAGCAGCTCATCTTTCACAGCCAACAAATTCATTCATCCGAGCCAAGACTCAAAAATAGGGCCAGCCGAAGATACAGGGTATGCATTCCATAGAAACGCTGTGCTTTCAAGAAAAAACAATGGATTGTATTAAGAAAATGTGGTGTTTGTCCATTGAAAGCTCACCATGCACACTGATCGAGTGTTGTGGATGGTTGCCAGGGCGTTGCTATGCAGTTGCATACAGTATGTGTTCTGCGGGCTAATAGTGTGTTGCCACGCAGTTGCTAGGATGTTGTGGATGGTAGCCAGGGTGTTGCTATGCAGTTGAATATACGTTCTGTGGGTTAGTGTGTTGCCATGCAGTTGCAAGGGTGTTGCGGACGGTTGCCAGGGCATTGCTATGCAGTTGCTAGAGTTTTGTGGATGGTTTTCAGGGTGTTGCTATGCAGTTGCATATGTGTTCTGTCGGTTAATAGTGTTACCATGCAGTTGCTATGCTGTTGTGGATGGTTGTCAGGGCGTTGTTATGTAGTTGCATGTGTATTATGAGCATAGTGTGTTGCAATGCAGTTGCTAGGGTGTTCTGGGTGGTTGCTTACTGGCAAAAATTAAAAGAGTCTCTGTGAGATTTCGCTCTCTAGATTTGCCTCAAGTCCCTCCGTATTGTGCTTAGAAGAGTATGTCAGTGATGTAAACGAATGATCAGCCTCACCACAGTGTGTTTCAGTGCTTACATAAGGACATTCACTGTGCCTGAGGCTGATCTGCTGTATGGAATGTGAGTGTATCTCTTTGTCTCTGTATGGCATCGGTCCAGGAGTCAGCGAGTGTTGGCTGTGTTATCAAAGCTCAACATTGTTGTCTTTAACTCTCCCACAGACTGCTGATGACGGTATTCAGGAGCTTTATGTGTCACTGCCATCTACTGTCTGTAGTGAAGAACTGTAGGTTACATGAGCTCTGGCTTTGAACGCATCTTTTACATTTTTATGCATTTGACAGACACTTT